CCTAAAAGTGCCTGTTTTTAGGATTGCGTCTTGGTTGCACGCAATCCGAAATCCAATTTTGAGATCGAAAATGTGAAAATGGCGTTAGGACGAGTCCTAAAGGACTTAGGATTTCCCAGCCAAAATCGTCCTAAGTTGTCCAGTAGCCCCCGACCTACTGAGAAATTTAGGATTCCCACGTTTCACGGACTCGTTGCGTCGCGCGCATGGCACCATCTACACGGAGTTGCTGGTGCAGACGCGGTCCTAAAAATCCTTTAGGACTCGTCCTAAAAGTTTTAGGATTCTTTTAGGAGTGTCTAACGAGAGCCTCATTCTGATCAATCTTTCTTTCATTCTTCGTTTTCTTTCTTTCTACCTTTTTTTTTTTTTTTTTAATTCCCCTTTCCAAGGGAATAGTCGAGACGGGCCCAGGGCCCATGCTAGGAGCGGCCGGCGAAACGGCGCCGCTGCCAAAGGGGTCGGGAGGAGTGGTAGGGAGCGGGCAGGGAATTGAGGAGTGGCCAGCGAAACGGCACGGCGGCCAAACGCGTCGGGAGCGGGCGGGGAATCGACGAGCGGGCCGAAACGGCACGGCAGCGGGCGGGGAATTGACGAGCGGGCGGCACACGGGTCGAGAAAGCAAACGGGTCCGGAGCGAGGGGGGAGTTGACAGAGGTGTGCGTGTCGGGCGGGTGAGCGGGCAGGTGGGAAACTGCGAGCGGCCGCCACGTTTCAGTGGAAGATTCATTCCGTTTTTGCTCATCCTATCGATGGAATGTGTGTGTGTGTGTGTGTGTGTGCGTGTGTGTGTGTGTGTGTGAGAGAGAGAGAGAGGGACAGAGAGCCGATAAGTCTCCAACCTCGACCAACAGCTAAGTCTCCAACCCCACAGCTCGCCACACGCTACTTGCATCGATAGAATGAGCAAATAAAAAAGTGGCAGCGGAAGATTCATTTCGTTTTTGCTCATCCTATCGATGGAGTATGTGTGTGTGTGTGTGTGTGTGTGTGTGTGTGTGTGTGTGTGTGTGTGTG